CGCGCCCAGCCGCCAGACCCGGGGGGCGAGGAGGAGGCGGGCTGGCGGCGTCCCGCCGGGGAGTCGCATCGCCGTGTGCTGCGCCGGAGCCTCCCGCCTTGGGGAGGCGGCGCTGCCTGGCCTCCGCCCCGGCGAGAGAGCAGGGAAGGGCGGACGAACGCCGCCAGACCTGCCCGCCGGGGCCCGAGAAGGGGTCGTGTGTCAGTCCCCGCCGCCTGAGACCCGCCATCTTCGGCCGGCCGCAAAAACCAGGCCCTGCCCGCCATCTTGGGCAGCCCCCTCGGAGCGCTCCGGAGCCGCATTCCCTGCCCGGGGAGCCGGGCGCTGACCTCGGGTGGAGTCCAGGGGTCGGGAACGTTTAGTACAAGGAGGATGGCGTTTAATGAGGCCAAAACTGAGCGAAGGTAGTGAGCGAACCACCCCCGCCCGGAGGATCTTCCATAATTCAACCACTTAGAGGTGCCACAAAAGCGGTTGGAGCAGGAAGCACTGTGGTAGATGATTATGAACCATGCCATGAACTGTATAGTTCTTGGCTATGGGCAATTAAAAAAGAAAAAAAAAGCAGCTTAAACCAAAGCTGGAGAGAAAACGAGCAGAACACAGACTGAAGAGGGACTGGGAGGAGGAAGCAGGTGGAAAGGGTAAAGGATGAGCTCCACAGGTGGAGGGATCCTAAGGAAACAAGCAACAAGGAAGGAGAAATGTATGAACGTTTTCAGTTTCACTAACAGTGTCCCTCCGATTCACCTGGGTGAATGTAACAAACCGTAGCCAATGTACAGTTAAATGTTGGCACTGACGTGTTAGAATTGTCCTAATTACAGGTTTTTTTGCTGACTGATGCTGGATGGACAGTGCTGCTGCATTGCCCAATGGTGGACAGCAGCTTCCAGGCCAGTTTGTTCTGTGTATTAATACATAGCTTACTTCTCCATGCAACCCCACAACAAGGGCTATAAAGCATGCAGTTATCCTCGGGTGCCTCCACACCACCTTACCACTTCAGGAGGCCACAACACAGCCAGCTCTCCAGCAGCCACCATGCCTTGCACTAAGGCGTGCGTGGAGCACGGTGCTGAGAAGGCACGCTAGATCCGCAGGGCTGCCCTCACTGGGCCTTAGCACCGAAATTAATTAATTAACCTAATTAACGGCAAGACCAAGGCCGTCAAGCAGGAGCAGCAGTGCTGCTTTTATGTAACAGCCCTAAGACGCGGCCCAGGGAAACCCGCCCCAGCGCCTTGCCGGGGGGCGCCCCAACCGCTGGAGCGGGGGCAAGGCTTGCG